TCTATTTGCTAACACAGTGAGGTACCAGAATATGAACTTTTATTTTTCTCTAGGACAGTACAGTTTCCTGTGTAGAAACGGATCAATTCAGGGACCAATAGGTCTTCTGAGGTACAGTGTAATGGACTAGAGAGATTCTGGGGTAGGAGTCAACAAATCTAGAATTTTTCTTTTCCAATCACTTCCATTTGGTGTAATGTTATGAGCGTAGCCTTTGGAGTCACTTAGGCCTTCCTGGCCTTGTGATTTTGGGCAAGTTACTTGGCCACACTGAGCCTCTGAGTCACCATTTATAAACTGGAATTAATTCTGTTGACACATGGGAACATCTTCCTAAAATTCCAAGCAGAAAAGTCTGCCTTACTCTTCCCAGCAAGTGAAGGGGTGAGTTGGACTGCTCTCCATTGATATTCCAGGTCTTCCCAGAAGATTCCAGTGATGCTCACAGACTTGGGGTGACAGCTGTAGTGGAGGAGTTCAGTTACATGTTTGAAGTTTCATCATAGGACCTTTTGGCAATCTTGGCAAATCTTGGTTTAAGTTAGGATTTCCTAGATGCCCCCACAAAGAGATAACTAGCAAAGGCACAGATATCAGCTCACACTTAAAAAGTGGCTTGACATTCTAACGCAACTGGGAAAAGGTTAATACATGAAAAAGTCAATTCGTTCAAGGTGGATAATTGTCAACAAAGATTGCTAAACTTCTCTTGGAATACATATATTTTAAAAATCTTTTCAAATAGGAGATTCTTTCCCTCTCTCCCATTAAAATATTTGATTTGTTCTTCAGGATTAAAGAGGCAGCTGTCCTAATGTTCATTCAACTTTAGAATAACCACAAAGGTTTCATGAATGTGAAATGCTAGTTACACAAATATGAAATGGATCTGTGATGAGGATACTGGGTACATGATATAACAGATTCCCAAAGGCATTTCACCTAGGACCTTAGCTTAGGACATTCTAGAACATTAACAAACAGTTCAAAATTAATATAGCACACCATGCAATTTGCCATATTGCTACACTAGCCTGATATTTTTTTCCTCTTATTGTATAAAATCTAATTAGTTAAAGGGCAACTCAAATTGAAACTTATATTTGGGGGATTTAGAAGTATTAAAGCAAAGGGAAAAAACAAACAAACACTTCAGTTCTCTGGATAGCATGAACACGATTACTAATAACACTTGGGTGGTAAAATGACGAACCTTGTGATTTTCCTCAAGATCCAGGTTTCTATGGTAAATTGATACTGAATAAAAATATTTGGATGCTGTATGGAAAACAATTTTTACAAGGTCTCCAACTGGCATCGAATGTTTTCAAGTATGAAAACATCTCTGGGCTTTCTCAACAGGCTGATGGATCCCTGCAGGTAGCGCTTCCCTTGTTTAATAGTCCTGTCAATTAAATCAAATTAGAGATGAATTTTTAACTTTGTGATGAAGCCAACATTCATTATAAAAGAACACAGGGAAATAGAACATTTCCCTTAAGTGAACTATTGTTTCCAATTGAATAAGTTCAGGGGCTTGGGGAGGGGGCAACCAAATACCTTCATTAATAATTCTATGCGTGTCATACCATCACGTCAGTCATTTGAAAGTAATTTAAGGAAATAATATATAGCTACGTTCACATAATGCTTACGTCTCTTTTCCCTTTTGTTGCTATTCTAAGAAATATTTCTATTTGTTTAAACATTCCAAATTTTCAGAAAAGATCTCCCTAGATATAATCTTTTATTTCAGTGGCTGGTCTACCTCTACCTCTGACATATCTGTCACCTGCTTTGTTAAGAGGCGACAATCACCTCCACAAAGCTATTTGCACATCAGGCCAGTCCTTGCTGGTCTAATTAGGCTCTTCATAATACACCGTTTAACATAATTAGTGAAAGTACTTGATTTTCAGGACTAAGGATCAGATAATATATGTTAGAATATAATGATTAGTTTATCACTTTAACAAAAACACCCACACGGAACCAACTATCAGTTTGGGTCATCAGCATCAACAAATGTTCACTTAGATAAAATTGCGAATGTTTAGTTTAAAATGCATGATGCATTTTATTAAAAAAAATTAAAGCTGAATGAATTACTACCACCGCCAGTGAAGTAAACACACAGATTCTAAGGTTCAAATGGCCACAGATCTATTTTGGGGTTCATTAATTGCTGACAATATCACCAGTATTTTTTCAGCTATGGCCAAAGCACATCAAAATAATCAAGTTTTAAATCAAGTACCCTTGGGATGGCTGGGAGACTTATTTTCTAATAAATAGACAACAGCAGGTACAAATGACCTTAACGGGAAATGTGTTTCAAAAACATTTTTAGCAGATGATCGGAAAGGATGACCATTCTGTCCATGCATTTGAACCTTAATGCAGGTACTGACAATTTGAGATCTACACTGAAATCTCTCAGGACTCCAAGACCTACAGTCATTTCTGCTACAGCATATGTATGTGAATTTATGGTTACATACATCAATAATTTACATCGATAGTATACATCATTTATTTTCCTTGAGATAACGCTTTGATGATCAGAGACTCATGGGTATTACATCTGTTTACAATGGTATCTTCCTTGTATTCTTGGTGGAATTAGTTCATGGATTCCTTCTTTGGGGTAAAGGGAACAGCCCTGTCAAACATCCCAACTTAGTTAAAATCCAAGCAGCTCCCTCTTCTCTGGCTTGCACCTCGAAAACCCCATTCCTGTGCTCTCTAGAAAAGGCAGTGAGTCATCTGCATGTGAATTCTTGCCCTTTGAGAGGAAAGGAATCCACCAGTGCACACAACAAGCACCTTCTGAGCCCATGAAGAAGGAAGTGCAAGTGCCATTGAAGCAGCCTAGGAGATACAATCATGTTTGATGGTCTTACTGTAGATCTCTTTACCTCAAAGCCAGGCAATAGGCAAGCTAGTCACGTGCGATGTGAGTGACCCCTGGAAGCTCTTATATCCTGTTTGCTTGGACTCTGAGGAAACACCCATTGCGCTCCAAGCAGAGAAACCAGAGGCATATTGAAGGCATACAAACTATCACTTTTTGTTCGTGGTTTTTGTTAGTTATTAGGAGCTAAATTTCCCTAGGTTCTTGATAATAACGGTTAATACATTTTCCAAAGGCAAAACAAAGCATCCTTTCAGGTCACCACTGATTTCAAAATAAAAACAAGCAAAACAAAACTGGAATTTCCCGATTAAATGTGTAAAAGGTCAACATCTGCTGATGCTCAGAGATGGGGAATGTGGTGGAGACGGCCGGATGAGATGTCGAGTGAGCAGTACAGTCAGAGCGTCCATGCAACACACAGCTGACACTCGGAACAGAAACACACCCCAACGCCAAAGAACTACTTTTCCATCTATCCATTTCTGAGACTTGTGGCAGGCCAGATCACCAGAGCAGCCTCAATCATCTCTCTCAGCTTGCTTCTCTTTGGTTCCCTTTTGTTCTGAAATGCATGTGCAAATGCCATTGTCAAGGCCTGAAAGGAGCAGATTGTGGGGTATAGATACAGTTAGGCAAATGGCAGAAAAATTAGACTATTAAAGCTGAAGGTTTTCATCTGCAAGTTTCTATCACTGATGCTGTTTCAACAAGATCACAAAGAGGCTGCTGTAGCATTAGGCTGATAACTAACCGGATGTGGAACACAACTTCTATTTACAAAGCGGCCGATTTTCATAGCATTTAACACATCTAGTGCTTAACAAATCAGTGTCTGGGCCCATTCACAAGCTTAAGTAAACAGGGCTGATTTATAAATCGGAAGACCTGACTGTGCATTTATAAGAAGCGAGAAGCTGTTTTATCCAAATTATCAGAGTATTGCTTTTTAGATGGATGTTGGGTACTGCAATTCTTCAACTGCTGCTCTTTACACTGCCATCACTGTGTGGCACAGCCCCTAGGACGAAAGCTTGTGTTGCCTTAGGCCACAGCGGAGATTCTTCCGTTCATTTCTAGTGCATTATCTCGACTTCTCTAGTACTTTATTTCTAATCAGTTATTCAGCAGTTGTTTGAAGGTTTTAGCCATTGGAGATAAAGGGCACAATACATAAAAATATGCATGTTCTGCTCTGAAAGGCTATTGGGCATGTTCTTAATAAGCATTTCAGTCTTGGTGCTAGGGTATCATTCTCTCATAGGTGAGGAGGGGGCTGCCGTCCGATACTCCTATGATAGCTGGAAGAATATTCTTTGCATTGGTAATTCAGAAAATTTGGGGGTGATAGACTGTTGAAGAGTGATTTCTCTTTTGGTTGTTTATATTCCTACTAAAAGTTTTCTCACAACAGTTTCCAGTACTCTATTAAATTCTGCATGTATTTTTATACCTTTCTCTACCAAATTGTAACCTAAGTTGTCAAAAAGACATGCATCACTGTATTTTAGTGGGGAGAAATGAAGTACTGATTACTTTTTCCTTCCTTCAACCAGAAAGAATAATGATCACAAATCTGCATCTTTCAGGCCATCACAAAACTGAGTTTAATATATTAATGATATTTTTTCTCCCTGGTTTCATGGTGTTTTCCTTGGGTTCTAATAAATATGCCCAAGGCATTCATTGGCGTTCATTCTCTGCTTTTCTAAATTATGTCAGAAATCCATATTCAGTCCTATGGAGAGAGTTCAATTTGTTTGTTGGTTACTAAGTATGGATAAATAGGACTCTTTGTATTTTTGTTAAATGAGCTTTGGTTTCCTGAGTAACTGCACTTCTGTACAGGTAGCCTTCGTTGATCAAATGTAGTCAGGAAAGCTGTGGCTCCGCCAAGACCACAGAGGAAGAAGGTACAACTATTTTATCTAGGCGCACACCACATCTCTGCAGAAAACTGACAAAATTTCAATTCGCAAAGAGAATACTCTCTTACATCAGAAATGGACACTGAGAAAATAGATCTGAGGAGCTGAACAGGAAAGCAAAGCTAGTCTAGACTTGGTTTGGTTATTTTTTTACTTACTACCAATACTGGAAATACTGGGGATACCTGCAGAGAAAGAAAACAATAAAGAAAAGCTGTTAGCTGTTTATTAGTACATGACTAGACATATTTAACTTACTGTAACAAACATGGAAACTTAACTCTTGATTACATTCAGACCATCAGGAAATTGGCACAGAAATTTTTTTTTTTTTCTTTTCATTCTAGAACTTGTAGGTTCATCAGAAGCTAACAATTTTAACTTAAACAGCTTTTCCAAAACAGCCATGTGACATCAACTATTTTGTGCTTGCCTATAGGTCAATGAACACTTGTATGTGGTTTAAAAGAAGATACTGAGCTAGGCTTGTGTTCTGGGCACAGAATAGAAAATATACACTGTGTGACCTTGAGCAAATACATCCACATAAGCAATAGATATTTTTTTAATGGGTTATGAGATGCATGCATTAGCTGTTGCAAATCATTTTGGGACTTTATTTGATTAATTTCATATAACCATCATTTTTATTCCTCCTTTATTTGTCAAGCATGTGAATTAAACTCTCTAATAGAAACCTACTTGAGCAGAATAATTCCAGAATACATTAGGTTGTTCATATTGATCAGGGACTTCATCGATTTTTCAGCTTTCACTTTAATTCACAAGTTATGAGAGGTGGTAGAACCATTTCAGAATGTGCTGGACTTGGCATAAACGTGGACATGAATTCAGTCTGTATCCAGATTAAAACTCCTAGCCAGGCAGTACAGTGCTGGGTCCAAGAGGAGGAGCCAGGCTGTCTGGGTTTGAAGCTTGGCTGTAAGTGTGTGACACTCACTATGTGACCTTGGGCAAGTTGCTCAATCTCTCAGTGGCTCAGTTTCCTATGTCTTAGGGTTGTTGTGAGGATTACATAAACTGCTACACGTAAAGGACTTAGAGCATTGCTTGGCATGTAAAATGCGTTATATCCATCTTTGCTATGATTACTATTATTATTATAGCTGGTTCATTAAGCAACACCACGACAGATATTGCTAATCTAAAGTCAGAGACTTATAGCCTTTCCAGTGAATTTGGGTAGTCGTGTGGGTGAGAGCACAGGATGGCACTCAGACAGACCTGAGTTAGACTCCCGCTTTGATACTGACTAGCTGGGTGATTTCAGACAAGTTACTTAGCTTTTTTACACTTGTTTCCTCATCTGAACAGGCACTAATAATATCTACCACATAGGGTTACTGTGAGGATTGAATGAGACGATCTATAAAAATGTCTGACACATGGTACGCTTTCAATAAATGATAGTTGTTAATGAGTTGTGCAGACTTGTTCTTTGTATTGCTGGAGTGCACTAACAGGTGGTAACTGTAGGAATCATTAAGCTTCTATTTTAGTGTTTATCTTTGAACAACTGTCCTCTGCTTATTTTTTAACCAATCTTTGTAATTTGCTCAGCAAGTTCTAGTTTTGTGTTCTTTAAACCCAAGAGTTGTTTTCCTATTTTTTAGTGGGAAAGAAAGAAGGAGGAATTAAAGCTCACTATGATTTAAAAAATAAAAAAAAGGAAAAAACTCTGGAAGGAATGGAATCTTATTTTCAGTTATTAGACACTTTAAACATCTCTTGATTCTCATTACACAGAGTTTATAGTGCTTCTCTTTAATTACTGATCACTGATCAACCCAAACCGGAAACCTACATTTTCCACTTATGTTTAAACTCTATCCTAAGATTTGAAAATCTAGTGGAATATGATTTCTGAAAAAGACTGCTGAATTCTTGACCTGACACCTTGGTAGACTATCTTTGCTGCAGCGTGACAATGACTTGATACTGAATCTTTTTTTCCCCCTTTGCAAATCCTCTGTCAAGTGAGGTACGACTGCAGCATCATAATTTTAGTACCAATTGCAGAAGTTCCAAATTTTCCCATGATTGAAAATCTTGCTCCATTGCAAGGTACTGCTAACCTTTTGCAATCTGTCATAGGGAATGGAAGTTAGGATGGCAGGAAGAGATTTTTCACGTGTTTTCAAACGTATCATGGAGTTAGGGGATCATGCATAATGCAAGGCAATGTTCTCAGGGTGTCTGGCTAGGCACAACAGACAGCAAACCCTCAAGACTCTTTGGTGCAGTACTTGCTGCAATTGAATATTTTAGTAAGATGCAGAAATGTCTCCATTCCTTTGGGGATACCAGTGCAGGGAAGAAATGTTCAATCCTCGCCCAGCAAGGCTATTATGAGAGCTTATTTTCCTCATAAAGATGTTTTCTATTACCTAACATTTGGATGCTTAAAATTCAGTCTCTTCCATATTTTTGTGGCTTACATTTTTTTTTTTTTTAGGTGCTTCCAGGTAAGTTGCTTTCTATTCCATTGTTATAAAACGGGAATTGCTCAGAAATTTTTTTTTAACTTCTCATTTGAATATTTCTGAAGATGAAAATACCTGTCCATCAACATACTATCAAATGTGATTTTTCCCCCCAATGTTTCTTATTGTGATGTTCAAACAATTTGCTTTGGTTTCCTACAGACAACTAAGCAATTTAGTAAACTCATCACATTCATTAAAAAGGATATGAGTAACTCATGAGAAATCCTTCCAACACTCAAGGAAATAAGACGGGAAGGCCTAGAAATAAACTGTAACAATTCATTTCATGAAAAGTGGGTTTTTCTGGGGTCAGTAAAGAATGAATCAGGGAATGCTAGTCCATCTTTCAACAGTAAGTGTGCCCATGAGCCACTAGAATGAGTGAAACATTGTGCTCAGGAAAACTGTCTAGGCACCTGTGGATAGTTTTTTAACATTCCATGTACAGTAACAATGATTACATAACTACTATTTTTATCTTTATAACCAAGCTCTAAAGTTATTTCTTCCCTTCATTCTGCATCTTCCTGATGTGAATTAGCCATTCTCTAACTTGTGATCGCACAGCTCTTTGTAGAACTTGTTGGTCAATTGAGCAATCATTTCTGTGTTTGTCTGAGAGCTCTGAGAGGACAAGTAGCTTCCGAGGACAATGACTGATACAGGATAGTAGCCCTGGTAGTGCAAACAGTTAACACACTCTCAGCTGCTAACCTAAAGGTTAGAGGTTCAAGTCTACCCAGAGATGCCTTAGAAGAAAGTCCTGGCAATCTACTTCCAAAATATCAGCCATTGAAAACCTTGTGGGGCATAGTTCTCCTCTGACACTCAGAGGGTTGCCATGAGTCAGAATCAACTTGGCAGCAACTGGTAGGTATATATTTGAGCAACAATATATTGCTTGTTTCCATGAAGGTTTCTATCATAGTGAAACTACCACTTTTGATCATAGCATGACCTTGTGCCCTACATAATGTTCCATGAGACATTTCTCAGAGTTTAGTATTATGGATATTTTTGTTCTCTCTGAGATTCTGGTACATTTCCTGCATTCTGAAAGCAAGAGTTAATGCAACATACAGAATGTCCCCTCATCACTTTGCCTTCCAGGAAGCTCAGAGCTAAATCTGATGCTCAACTGGGGCAACTCTGTTCAACATTCAATGTTGGACCTATTTTCTTTGTTACTCCTTTTCTCAACTCTTCCTTTTTAATTCCTATTTGGGCCCTTATTTGTATTTTTCCTTTTACTAAGCCACCCAGGGACAAATAAATTTTTGTGGGCCTAAAGTGTATAGAATTCTGGGAGTCCTCTTTAAGGAAAATAATGCAAAACTAAAATAGAAAATTAGACACGAAAGTCATTTTTTTTTAATTGAGACAGAGTCCAGTGAGGGCCATCTCTGCAACAAAGTCAAAAATATTTGAGAAAGATAAAGAAGATAATAGGTGGATAGAAAGGAATAAATGAAGGAAGGAAGATACGATACCAGATTAGCTAATTTGGAAAGAGTGATAAAAAATTCAGAGCTGAAAAGGACTTACGAAATCATCTTATTTAGCCTTTTTGTTTTACAGAAGAGGAAATCGAAGGCACAAAGAGAAGTAAGTGCTTGTCCAAGTCGACCCCTTAATTCAACATTGGAGCATGTAATACCTAATTCCTTGTCTACTGAGACATTGCTAAACTTGCACTGAGGAAATGAAGCACAGGTAAGCACGAGCTTTAACAGGAGATTCTGCAATACATGGCGTATGATTTTAGTAACATCACTTCTTCTAAAATAGAAATGTCACTTCAGTCAGAGATACATATACATGTTGGGTATGCCAAAGGCATCATTCTACCACCATGTGCCGAAAGAATGAGAAGGTGTTTGGCTTATAGGTACCCGCAGTTATTCTCTTTTCAACTCAATCCCCCCTACCTCAACCACATTTGTTTTAAAGGAATTCTGCTACAGTTAGGGGGATGAAAACCTAGTAGAATCATGTAAGGTGTGATTTTTTTTTTCCTTCTTTTTCACCTTCTTTTTCTTTTTTTTCAATTTTACTAACTTTCCCACTGAGTAAATTGCTAGAGAGCATATAGCTAAGCTTAAGAAAGTCAACAGGATGGAGATCTCAAAAATAAACACCCAATCTTCAGAAACAGACTAATGCACAGCTAAAAGCTGTAACTCCTTTTGAGAATCAATGGAAAGTTCAGCAGCTTTTCATCAAGAGGGAAGCAGAAGGGATAAGGATTCGGCATGTTTCAAACTGAGAGGAAAATTGACCCCTGACGTGATAGATGGCTGGAAAAAGGCTCATCAAATAGAAGACTAGATGTGTTCTTACAGGCAGACTATGGCCATTGGGAGCTCTGACTCCCAAAAGGCCAGTTGAAGAAGAGCTAAGACTTGAGTAAGGCAAACGTTGTTGTTGCTAGTTGCCGTTGTTACCGACTTGTGTCATTGGGTGTCGCCAGGTGTTGTTTCTGACTCATAGCGACCCTGTACGACAGAGTAGAACTGCCCTACAGGGTTCCTAGGCTGTAATCTTTATGGGAGCGGATCGCCAGGTCTTTCCTCCTGCTGACGTGTTTGAACCACCAACCTTTCGGTTAGCAGCCCAGCGCTTAACCATTGTGCTGCCCGGGCTCCTTAAGGTGAACATTTCTCAACCTCATTTGTATT